GTGGCAGTTACTAACTTTCTACAGTTTTCTTAATCAAAAGTGATCTAGTAACCTGTAAAGAAAGGATTAAAAATTTCAGATATTCTAGTTCTGCTTTCTTTGTTTTAAAAATCACTGCTTCATTCCACTTCAAAAGCATGGTGTTTCTTTTCTTGTCCAAATTTACCCAAAAATCTTCAAGTTACATTTAGCCCAATAAGGTTAAAAAAAAAGAAAAACGGTTGTGATTCCCCTTTCTCCTGTGCCCTTACAACTCCTACTTTCTCTGCATTCAGTTTATCTTTCATGGATCACTTCCTAAGACCCAGGTCCCATCTTTTCTGTGAAGGAGAAGAAATGGCTCTGGTGGTTTTCTTCTCCCACGTCACACTGCCCTGCATGGGAAGTGATTCAAATTCTGATGCCAGACTATAACATCCTTTTAAAAAAATTAAAAACCAAGCCACCAATCTCCCACCCCCTCAAAAAAGCCCTGCAAAGGGAGGCCCACTCAGCTCTTCTGTAAAATTCTGGCTCATGTTTCCACAACAGTGTGGATTAAGTGGCAAGCCGTGCTATCTGTGTATACCTGATTGAACTGCAGCCTTACCTGGCCTATGTAGGGAAACCCTCAGTGCCAGGTTTGGTGACTCCAGAGGGAAGGCTTACCAGCTGAGGACACTGCTTGTGAGGTGTTGTTGAATTTCTCACCAGAAAGGCGCTAGAGGCCAAGACTTGGCACCTTCCCTGCAGCCACGTTTGAAGATCCACTGGTCAGCACAGGCAGAGCAGAAGCCAGAATATCCATTTCAAATTCCAAGCTCATCCATCCCTGATCTCCATCTGGAATGTGTCACAGAGCTCTGCGATTCCTCTGTCTACAGCGACACTACCACACCCCTCCCTTGGCACAATTTGGCTCTCTGTGGGATTGGAATTGGATGGACACGGCTTTGTATCAGGCATCAGTCTGTGGTTGTTGGGGTGCCAGCTGGCCCCTTCCTTTCAACGTAGCTGGTGGCCCAGCCCAGGAACAAGACGGCCTTTTCCCTTTGGACTCAGTCTTTGCAGAGTCAAGCTCCACTTGAAGCTCACTCAGTAATACTTTTCCATGTGTTTTATATTGTTTTGATTGCCTTTTTTGTAGAAATAAAAATTGACCTTAGAATTTATCATCAGATGAACTTTGTAAGGATTTGAATGTTAATGTTTTTTCAAGGCAAATGGGACTATCCCTGAAATGGTAGAGAATGCATGGCACTCTGACATCTGAGGAAGCTGATCAAACACCATGCATCACCAACCTCTGCCACTGGTGGTGTCCCTTCTTGGTTACAGGGGGACTAGATCTCATGAAGATGACTTCAAGAAACTTTGCTTTCTGTTTTTTCACTTTAGCTCTGTATCTTGATCTTTCTAGGGTTACAGACGTACAAAGTAGCCCTGGGTTTTGCCTGTGCAGAAGTGCAAAGTGAGAGGTAGTGTAGGTACATAACACAGTTCAGTTGTCTGGGCATGTGGCTTCTGCAGTGTGTAAGTGAACTCAGCTGCTATAGTCCTAGGTACACAAGGGCAGGACAACAAGAGCACAGGGCATTTCCTCATCTATCTCTTCATTAGCAGAAAGGTGATAATGGATTTTGTTTCACTCAGACTCAGATTTGTAATAAAATGCCAAATTCTGTCAGAAGCTATCCAAACAAGCCACCATTTGTTCTCATTGCTTCTTTAAGTCCAGAAATAATTGTCATTCTTAAAAACTGTCCCATTGCTTCGTATTTCTGCCAGCGTAGCTCTGCCTGCCTGTCACTCCCTCACTGCTCTATGCTCAACGTGGGAGGGTACCCTTATGCCGGCAGCCCCTCTCAGGGACTCAGCTGTCACTGGCATCTCGTGGTTTGCCCTGGCAGCAAAGACCTGGCTCTTAAGTCAGTGGGTGCCCTCCCTCCAGCCAAGGGTGGCTTGCTCCTTTCAGCTGTGCCCCAGGGCAGTCTTTGAGCAAGCTGGCAGTCAGCTCTGGCTGTTCCAAAACCAGAAAGCTGAATCCTCTGGAGAAGGGGAGAGCTGTGGAGCAGCTATTCACTGCTGACCTGCACTGGCTCAGGAATTCACATCCACCTGGTTCCTTGAAGTGTCTGGGGTCCTCTTTCTGCCCTTCCACAATGGCGGAGAATAGGCTTTCTAAGATGCTGCAATCCCGTTCTGCTCCCCTTAATAAAAATGCTCTCCAACACTGGTTTGGTTGTATAGGTTTCTTCCTTTAGGGGTGGGTAGTGCCAGGGGCTTGTGTTCTTTGAGACTGGGAGGTGTGGGCTGGAGCCTCCAAGCTCCTGAGTCTAGCCTCTCCAGAAGAGGCACACAAAAGGGTTGTACCTCCTCAATGGGAAGGAGTTGGGGTATAATTACGTGCTGGAAACACCACAGTTCATCCTACCAGGACTTGTAGAAGGACTGCTGAGTGTCTAGTAAGGGGACAGTGATTTCTACATTGGTGTGGGTCACTTTCGTCTTGTCATGACAGCGATGTCATAACCCATATTTAGTAGAGGTGAAAACAACCCTGAAAAGGTGGTCTTGATCAAGGTCCTGGGACTAATGGTATGATGAGGTCATTTCCTGAATAATTTTAACCAGAAACGATCCTGGTGTGTCCTAGACAGCTCAATTCACTCCAGATGGCGCTGCAGCATTAGCACTGACCCACCACTCTACTTTTAGTGGTGGGGTCTGCAACTCTGAGGAAGCTTCCTGGGGTGTCACTTTACCTGGAAGAAGGAGGTCTTTTCCCTTGATCATAGGTAGGGCTGTTTGGCCACCAGTATGGCACTTTACCCTCTGGGTCTCAAGGCAGCCTATAAGCATCTTTATTCCTGTTTTTAGGAAGAGACGGGGTGATATTGGGGAGAACTCTTTCCAATTTTTAAACTTTTATTTTTTGAGACGGGTTCTTATTAAATTATTAAATTTTCCAGGATGGCCTTGAACTTGAAATCCTCCCACCTCAGCTTTTCAGACTAATGGTATTCCCAGTGTCATCACTGCTTTTTAGTTTTTGAGACAAGGTTTTGCTAAATTGCCTGAGGTGGCATCAATCTTGCAATCCTTTTGCCTCAGCCTATAGAGTGGCAAGGATTACAGCTGTGCATTATTGTACCTGGCTCTTGGGAACTTTCTAGGAGGTGGAAGTGTGCTGACTGGCAGGATGCAACAGGCCCAGACTAAGTGTAAAAACAGCCAGTTGTGTTCAGGTATATATATATATATATATATATATATATATATATAATATTTTTTTTTTTTTAACAGACTTTAGAAGACTGTTATGGTAGCACACACTTATTAATCCCAACACTTGGGTGGCTAAGGCAGGAAGATTGTGAGTTTGGGACCAACCTGGGCTACAAAGTGAGCTAAAGACTAGCCTGAACTGTATAGTAAGACCCCACTTCAAAAAGACAAAAGAGGGGCCAGGGAGATGACTCAGTAGAGTAAGTGCCTGCCTGGCAAGCACAGGGTCCTGAGTGTAATACCTGGTACTGCAAAAAATAAAAATAAAAGTTGAAAAACAGGGCTGGCACACACCATTTTCCCAGCACTCAGGGGGCTGAGGTAAGAGGATTGCTGTGATTGCCATGAGGTGAGAGGATTGCCTGAATGAGGACATCCCCCTCCGCCCTCAAAGAAATGTCTGCAATCACTCTATTCCATGTGCCACCAGTGACCATGCCAACAACCTCTCTCCCTTCCCAAGTAGTCTTTAGTCACCTGATTCTACCAGTCTGGCCAAGTTGCCTCACTTCATTCTTAAATGCTCTTGGTCCCTCGAGCTGTTCCCAGCTTCCATGTGTGCTTATCCCTCCTTCCTTCCTGAGCAGCAGTAGCCATTCTCAACCCTTGTACCCACCCATGCCTTTGCCCCCAACAGAGCTGCACAACTATCTGGCTGCTCTTGCTTCTGAACACTCCATAGCAGATGCCCTTTTGGCAGCTGCCTTGGGGTCAGCAGGCTGCCTTCAAGCCATCCTGCTTGCCAGCTCTAGCTGGCACTCTGCAGGACTGTGGCCAGACCACAGGGGCCCCAAGGCTAGGAGGTAAAGACTATACAGCAGGCAGGAGCCAACTCATGTTGACTTCTGTTGACAACCATGTAGGAAAGGTACTATGGCTGTCAAACTCAAGGCAAGGTTAGGATACAAGATGAGCATGGAACAAAAAAAGGGAGGTGAAACCACAGCCAAGGGGAGAGTCGGGTGTGGGCTAGGGAAGTCAGAGGAACAAGATCCCACATGTCCCTTTAGAAAGCTGTGTACCTGTCGGCTACCTAGGCTGGGTGAGAGTTCTCAACAGTTGATTCTTTTACTGACACAGGCCAGAGCACAGTGCACATCAGGTGAATGAATGAAAGCTCCAAGGCCCTGGTCTGCCATTGCCACCTCGAGGTCTGTAAATTGAGAACACATAGCATTAAATGAGGCAAAAACTATGTGGTATTTTGTCTGCCTGCTCAGACTTCCTATGGACTTTTTAGTCTGCTCCTTGCACCTCAGGGCCATTGGTCCAAGTGACATGGAATCCTTGCCCACCGGGGTATCCATATACCAATAGGCTCAGGAATTCCAGGTTTCAAGTTCCACAAAATGCCCTTCCTGGAAGAATTGAAGCACACTCCTTGGAGCTCACAGGATCTATTCAGGCTTGTCACCTAGACTAGCTTACTTAGAACAAGTGATTTTTGTAAATAAAAATTTGAGTTTTGCCAAGTGCTATGGTAGTTCCCAGCTACTGAGGAGGCTGAGATAGGAGAATCACTTGAGCCCAAGAGTTTGAGACCAGCTTGAGGAACAGTGAAACTCAAAAAGCAAAGCCATATGTGGTGGTGCATACCTATAATCTGAGCAGTCAGAAGGCTGATGAGGCAAGAGGATTGCCAGAAGTTGAGGCCAACCTGGACTATACAGCATAGTGTTTTCCAGGCTGGCCTGGAATACATAACAAGACTCTATAAACTACACACATACACATACACGAAATACAAACATAAAATTCAAAGAATGTTTTGCATAATTTTTTCTGGAGTATTAATGGGCTGAGCTACCAACAGACAGTTGCTCTGTCTCCAATTCTGTTTCTGTGAAGCTTTCCTGGGAACTGTTTATAAACCACTAAAATCTGAAAGACATATATTCTATTTTATTTACATAACAATCTCTGCCCACTGTCACTGAACAATCAAGCGTTTACCTTGCAACAAGAATTGTTACCCAACATGCTGCAGGCCATAGACCGTGATGTCACAGGCTGGGTCTGCCTGCAGCCAAGGTCTGGCTGTCAAAACACTGAGCCAAGAGAACCTGGCCTACAGAGCTGGCACTGTATTACACTGGGAAGTCAGACTCTACTCCAACTGTACCTGACCATCATCTTGGTCCCATTCATGCACACTAAAGAGTATTGGTGCTTAGGATAGGGAAGGGTCTAGGAAAGATTCCTGAGTAGACTCTCAAGAGACTCCTTCTTCTGGCCTCTTTGACTCCAGGTCCTCAAGGGCACAGAGTTGCACCCCGTCCTGGGCCAGCCTTGTCCGCAGTGTAGGTGCTGTCAACACACGAAGTTCATGCAGTCTCTCCCAAGAGCAGGAAAAAGCATCAGGACCCTCGCCACAACCCCCGGCTGGGGGCACACTGGGATATCCTGGGTGTGTCATCAGCTCAACTGTCAGGGTATGGCCTGTGGGGTTATCTTCCAGGGCCCGTGTGACAGCCCCCAACACACGATGAGCAGTCATATATCGCCCGCAGGTGCTCAAGCCCACGAAGGCATCTGTCCACCTGGAAATCAAGAGGCAATGATGGTAGAGCTGCAGAGTCAGTAAGATAGGGCAGGCATTGGAAAAGGACGAAACTAGAGGCCAGCTGGTTATTTCCCGGTTTGGGAAAGAGACATAGCTGCCCAGGTGCACGCACTGAGACCTGTGGGAGCAAGGGCTGGGGCAGCAGGGCTAAGGTCAGCTCACCGCAGGCCATGGCGAGAAAAGGGGCCCACGGCGGCCCGGGCGTCACGCTCCACTGTACAGGCGAAAGCACGTGCGGGGGCTTCCAGCCATGTGCATCCATCCACACCGCCTTCCAGCGGCAGTCGTGTGAAGCGCACCCCACCTGCCTGCAGCGCCTCAGCGAACACCTGGCACACACCTGTGGGCAGAGAGGGCTTCAGGAGTGCATGGTCTCTTTGCTTGGTTTAACAGCATCCCACCATGCCCTGGAGGCAGGTCCTCAGCCTGGGAGGGCCAGCCCACATACCTGGGAGCACGTGCACGTGCTGGTGCCCATCCACGTGCGTAGGGGGCCTGCCCAGCAACTCCTTGAATCGGCTTAGTTGGGCCTCTAGCTCCTCCCGCACCTGGAGAGAAAGAGGCAAAAGCACCTTGAACTTCCAGGGCCATCACAGCGGAGGATACTTAGTGCGACAGGGCGGCAGTTCCAGTGTCTCTCCTGCCCCTAACGACATCCCTTGCTGGGGTCCTCAGGGTTGAGCTCTGGAGGTTTGCGCAACCATCATGCACCCACGCCTTCGCACCTGTGACAGCGCCACTCGTCCAGCCTCCACCGCCTCTCGGAACCCCATCTTGCCGAGAAAGAAACCTTCAGGACTGAGCAGTGACGAGGTGCCATGGAGGGCTGGGCCCACGGGGCGACCCTCGGATAGGTTGGCGTGGAGACCAGTGGGGATGCAGTGCCTGCCGGCAGAGAGAGGATGGGAGCGCAGGCGACACGGGAAAGGGGCGTCCCAAAGCCCGCCAGGACCCGTGGGGGCAGCCCTCACCTGCGGGCCAGCTCAGCCGCACTCTCCGCGGCCGCGCCATTCACCAGCAGAGACACGCTGGTTACGGTCCCTGCCAGGAAGGCCTCTACGATGCCTTCATTACGCCGAGGGCAGTAACCAAAGTCATCCGCGGTGACCACCAACCGCACACGCGGCCAGGACATGGCGGCCTGGAACCCTAGCGCACTACCAGGGAGGAATGGGCCAGACGGCCCCGCCCGGGCGCTCACGCCCAGACGCCGGCGCACTTCGCCTTTGTTCTCGCCACCTAGTGGTTCCTGGGGGACCCTGCGACAGCTACTGGGCTCTGCCAGCGCCAAAAACAGCTCATTTACTGCATCGTGAAAATGTCCTTGACTTCAAAAGTGGTATTTGAAAAGTGATATATTAAAAAAAAAAAAAAAAAAAAAAAAAAAAAAAAAAAACAAGAGAAAGAAAAGGAAGAAGAAAAGGGAAAAAAAAAAACCTTTACCCTCTCAGGTATCACTCCTATTAACTTTCTGGGTCATGTCATTCAGCTTTTTTTTTTTGGAACTGGAGATTGAACTAGGCACTTGCGCTTGCCAGGCAAGTGCACATTCAGCTGTTTTTGGGTGTTTGTTTGTTTGTTTGTTTTGTTTTGCTTTTTTGAGACAGGGCCTCACTGTGGACTCCAGGCGGGCCTGGAACTTATGCTCCTCCTGCCTCAGCTTTCTGAGTTCTGTGATCAGGGGTACACCACCAAACCTGGCTTTCTTTTGTTAGTAGTGTCTATGAGGTTTTTAAAAATGTTATTAGCTGTTTTTACTTCTCTTTTTCAAGCTATCAATTGTCTTTGATTTTTCTAAGAGGAGACTTTCTTACTAAAAGCTCTAAACAAGGGCAAACCTACTCAGGTCACCTTCTGTTGCGCTCTCACACAGAATCTTTCCCCCAATAAATAAATTCTGCTCTAAAAAAAATCTCTTAAGAAAATGAACACATTTATCCATGGCTTTGAGAAAGCCTTGGTCCCTATTTCAATCTTGAGCCTGTGGAAGATATGTTTACATTCATAGCTTCATTTTCATTCCTCTTTTGTTCAAAAAAGGTTCCATTGCCCATGACTATAACAATGGTAAACATGGTGACAGCTATAGTGTTTACTATAAGGTGACCATCTTGATTTTCTCTCTGGAAAGTGTGATGTTTGTGTCCAGCCTATGAGGTTGATAATGTCATTTCTGTTTTACAGAAAAGGAAACAATGTAAAAGAGGCAGGATGTGGTCCTGACAAGAGTAGTGGACTGAAAAAAAAATTTTAAATAGAAATTAATTGATAGAAGAAAAAAGAATAGTGGACTGATCCCTGAAAGTCTGGGCCTATGCCCAGCTCTTTTCCAGTCTTCAGGGCCTTATTTACCCACCTAGATCAGGGACAGAATAGAGCTTGAAAATAAACCTCATATGGGACCTTGTAAGGATTGGAAACATCAAAGAGCTCTTCATCTAAGTTCTTGGCATAGAGACACAGGCACAGAAGCACTTGGCATAGAGGCACTGCCAATGCCAATAGAGTAGAGGTGATTGCCTTAGTTCCTGCCCCCAAAGGAGCATCATCTAGTAGACAAATAAATAATAACACTGTGTGGCAGTCTGGAATTGCATTTGTTGTAAATCTGTTTTTGGTGGTAGGCTTTCTGGGTAGAAAGGAGAAAATGTAAAGGTACATGGAACTTTTCTTTGGCCATGACAGGTGGGGATACTCACCACTATACTAACAAGGAGTGAGCTAAGTGTATTATACGAAGATCTTATGTAAGCCCTATACTCTCAGGCAGAAAGACAACCACACGCACGCACACGCGCGCACGCACACACACACACGCCACTTAGGAGCACCTGATCAGAGAGATTTATTCACACATCTGCAGGAATCTGTAGAGTCAGGAATTGGAGCTAGGGCTGTGACAGAGTTGGGACTCTCCACTATCCTCAGGGAGACTACCAAGAGGAGGCCCAGAATAGATGCTGGGGTTGTCCACACTGAGCAAGGGGGGAGGAGGTCTCCAGAAAGAAGTAAAGCAGGAAGCCTGTGAGGAAAGTGTATCGTTGGTAGCGGCCATAGCTTTTGCTCTTAGGCCCTCGGGGATGAGGATCACGGATCCGAGCCCCAGCTTCATGTATGTATGTACGTATGTGGTATAGGTACAAGGTCAGATTCGTAGTGATCCTCCTGTCTCAGCCTCCCTATCCCTGGGATTACAGGAGCAGGGCTGATGTGACACATGGTACATGGTACCGGGGATCAATCCCCAGTCCTTGAGCTTGTCCGGCAGACGCTTAGCCCGCCAAGCTATCTCCCTGGCCCCCAGAGCCCAACTTTGGAGCACTTTATGATCCAGAAGAAATTGGTCAGGCGCAATCTTACTCCTTTAGCTCCCAGAGAAAGTGAGCAGGACCCTGCATCGAATCGCGGAGGAGGAGCCAATTTAGGCCCCGCCCCAACCATTGTCACTGGGAAGCCAATGGGAGAAACGCTCGCAATTAACCAATCAGGACGCAGCATGTAAATAAACGCGCCGTAAGCCTCTGGGCAACTACAGCGCTCCTCGCCTGCTCCCTGGAGTAGAAACCGGCGGTTCTGGGAGCGGACTCTAGTGAAGTGTTCGGCCCTGGGCAGGGGGTGGACCATAAGGTGCTCTGGCTCTGGGAGGACACACCTACCGACCAGAGACGGTCACTGTGCTGGCGTCCTCCAGGAGCCCCCACCCGGAGGACATCGAAATGATACTGTGTGTTAACTCCTGGGGGACTCCTAGAAGAGGAAGAGCTGGACGCTTGAAGGACACAAGGTGAGCCTAGCGAGGGGCTGGCGGACCCCACAGTAACTGACACAGTGTTGGACTCAGACCCTCCCAGCTTCACTCTGTCCCTGCCCGCCCGGCACAGAGAAGAGCTCGCTACAGTGGTATAGAACTGAGGACAGAGGTGGCAAGCAGCGGATCTGCCTACTTGCACCATGGCCGGCTGCCGCCACCACTCGGGATACCTGGCGGATGATGAGGCTGGCCACAGCACACACATGGCGCGGGTAAGTGTACCCAGTAGGGCTCAGCCCCTGGTGCCCCAGAACAGTTCCTCTTTTTTCCCATTTATCTCCTAACCAAGAGATTCTCTTTATAACTTCGACCTCTCCTATGTTCCCGCTCTGGGCCGTGATCACCCTCAGTTTCATTCCGTGTGTCTCCCTGACTTCAATAACCTAGGAGAGAATTGGGCGGACTACAACACAGCCATGGATAGCTCAGGATTCACAACCTTACGATCCTCTGCAGCACAGCAGACAGGGCACGCCTGTTCTGTGGGCAGAAGAGAGAGTCAAGAGATAGCTCAGTGGATTAGGCAAGCGCCCCGGCACCACTTGCTGGCCTCAGCCCCGGACATGCTACCTAGACCCGAAAGGGTGACACACGCCTGTAATTTCAGTGCTGAGGAGGCTGACAACAGGAGGATCACTGTGAGTCCAAGCTGCATAGTGAGACCCTATACTAAATACATTAAAAATAAATAAATTAGGGGCTGGAGAGATGGCTCAGTGGTCTAAAGCACCTACTTAGAACAAGCTTAGCAAAAGCATCAGGGACCGCGGTTCAATCCCCCAGCACCACATGC